GGGAGGGCGGCCCAGGGCGCGGCGGCTGCTGCCCGGGGACCCGGCCTGAAGGGCAGCGGTCGGCGCGCCTCGGCGCTGGCGGCCTGGCGGGGTGGGATTAATCGGCTCCTGACCTCGAAGGCGTTAGGCCGCGGGTGGTGGCATGGGGGAAAGGTAAAACGCTCGGGGCTCGGGCGCTGCCTGCCCCGGCGCGAGCGTTGTCGGCGGGGAGGCTTCCTCCGGCGGGAGCTGCTCCCCCCCGGTGCTGCGAGGAGCAAGGACTCGGGCGCTGCTGTGTGGAAGTGCTGTGTAAACAAAGGGAGGGAGCGCGGCCGGAGGCAGAGCGTGAAGTAGGCATACTGACAGGGAGACCGTTCGGATTTACGAGCAGGGAAACGCCTCTTTTAACCTTCCCCTGGTGCGGGTCCTCCGGGCAGCGGCGGACTACGTTTTCGAGGGGGAAGGGAGATTTTTTTTGAGCTGGTGTTGCCTTTAAACTGTCACAATTAAGTATGTTCAGAGCGTTTGAAAGCATTTCGCCTTTATACGCGGAGTTTTGAAGCTGTACAGGGTATGGCTGCAATTCTGAACGAGAGGCTACTTACAAAAACAAGTGCCGTTAAGGTGTTACAAGCTTCCAGGACTAGTAGCGATAAATTGTCCACGTGGATTGTTAAAATTGACCTTTTTACTGGTAATTCAGTACCCTCACCGTTAAACGTGGGGTTAATGTTATAAAGGAAGAAGGCGAGAGTCGCCTTGTATCTTGATACTCGGCTTTTGGAGTCTCAGAAAAGCTTTCGGGGACTAGCCGCCTACTTTAGATGTACTTTTGTAAAAGTAATGTTTTAGGCTCTGTGGATCACATTAACATCTGAAATCTACATTCTCTGTTGTTGCAAATGAAATACTTCATTTTCAAAAAACATCTGTGTGAGCCTGTTACTAATTGTACCTTAATTTTAAGGAAAATTGGATGGCTGAGTGAGAACTGGTTGTTCAAAAGATTCACGCTCGTGGCTGAGGATTACAGCATGTCTAAAGAAATGCAAGAACTGCAGAAGCAATGGCACTCCATGGTGCAGTCCATCCATAGCAACTCAAATGTGGGTCTGGATTATAATTTATAATATATTTATAAAGATACTCCTTTCATAACTCTTGGAATATCACACCCCAATTTATTTAAATGCAATTTCAGAACTTCTTTTGGGGGGTGGGGGGGAATGGGTACTCTCTTTTTAAGTGAACACTGAGGAGCCTATGGGAAGGGCTGTCCTCCTACACCTTCAGCAATCAAGAAAGAGAGAAGCCTGTTCTGCATTTCTGTGTTTTACTGGTATAACCATTTGAGATAGTAGAGTGGCATTTTAGTTAAATGGTTGTGCTGCTATAAAAAGAACTAAAACTGCAATACATATTTCCTTAAGGGACAGGAAATGTCTCTACTACAGTAAAATTCTAGTGTGTAGGTATGACTGCATCTGTAAAGAGGATTTTTAAAAAATATTATAATTTTATATTATAATTAGCAGACATGCCTGCACTGTACTTACAGTCAATATACGAGCAGGTTGCAGATATTACTGAGGCATGAAAAAAAGAAAAATCATAATTTTTAAATGTTACAGTATTTTTTTTCTTAACAAATACAGTTCTCTAGATCAAAATCATAGTGTTGAGACCCCACTGAAATACTGTGCAGCTAAACTGTGATTTGGTTTTTTACTTGTTTTCAGGTTCTTTGTTTTGTTTTGTTTTTTTAATTTGTGCAAGAATGGAACTGGGAAGTCCAAGAGAAACATGTCTGTTCTTGGTAGAACATATTTGCTATGAAGTTATCTAAATTTGTAGTAAGTCTTCATGCTTTTGAAATACAGAGGCAACAGCTGCCCTCTATTCCAGCTGCAGACTTACAAAAAGATGCTACCTGCAGTTCACTAAAGTAGCAGTGACCTTTAAAAGTTATCTATGACAAGATAAAAACAAAATCTGAAATGTTTTTCTTTCATCCACAGGTTGTTGCATTTATGAATTCTCGTGTTGGCCAATATTTAGATGACCATCCTTTTGTTGCCTTATCGCTCCTGATGTTTATTGCAGTGTCTGCTATTCCCGTTGCATTTTTCCTGATTTTTGTTGTTACAACAGCCCTAATGGCCTGTGTCGGTGTGATAGTCATGGAAGGTATTACATGCCTGCATGTATGTACTTACTTATTCCCTTCTAAGGCATGATGTCTTGTCTTTTTTTTAATTCTTCCTTTTGGAGACCCCAGTTCAAGCAATTGAGGATTTCTGCATGTAGTCCTCAGGTCGCAGCAGTAGTGAAACTCTTAATACAAGAATAGTAATCGGATTAAGTGTAGTCTATACAGGGGAAATCCTATTTCCCTTTCTAATCATCTCAGCCACCAGGATATGCCTAAACCAGTTATCTTGACCATGCATAGCTTTTATAGAGGCCTGCTAGTTGATTGCAGAAGACTTGTTTTCCCAAATGGTTTGAAATTGGGGTTGTGGTAGAACGTCAGATGTTCTAATATACTTGTATATAAACTTGTTTAAATAACAAACTGATTTTCTTTTTCTAGGTGTTATAATAGCCATAGGTGGCATAGCCCTCCTCTGTGTGCTGTGTGGCCTGGGTGCACTTTCACTGGGAGTTTCTGGAGTACTTAGTGTTTGTTATGTCGTTCTTTCAACTCTGGTCAACTACTGGTATGCTTCAAGGTGAGTATTGATGTCTTGATCCATGCTTGGGTTTCAAACTCTGCAACTGTACTATTGCATTGATTACTTTATTCTACGTGAGCAACTGTTGCTTAGTTTAACAAATGTTTCTTGAATGCTAGAGCATTGTAGGGTTTAGGGTTATTCCGTGTGGGGCCCGGACAACAGGACACCAATATGATGATTAAAGTCGCCAGTTTATTGAGCCTAGCTGATCATTCTTATACAATTCTCTAAGTTGCTTAGCAGCTTTGATTGGCTGCTGCATGCAAGCATTTGGTGTCCACGCGCACAAGCATAAAATGTGATTGGTTACATCGATACTGTCCACGCACATAAACATAAGATACAGTTAGTTATACTCACTCTGTACATGCTCATAAACACAGGACTTAATTGGCTATGTTAGCTAGAGCATGCGAAAATTGTCTCAGTCCGATTGGTCGAGATAAGCCCCTGAACTGAGGTTGTTTGTGCCAAGTTCCCTTTATCATGGAATGTGCACCTGTGTTTTTCTAATTGGGCTCTTTCTTTTTCTATCTTCTTGTTTATTCTGTTCAAGGCCTTCTAAAGGCGTCTGCAATGCTCTTGCAACCATGAGCTACTTTCAGGCCCAGTAACTAAGTTCCATATAATTGACCCCAACAGAGCATCTCTGGCTACACTGGTGGCTTAATGTGCAGCATACAAGTGTCTAGTCACCAATATATATTTTAATGAGAGTTAGTACATGCCCTCTTGCCTATTTACAAAAGAGGAAATGTAAATAGTCTTTAAATGTGCATGTGCTAACACAACATGACATCAAGCAATAAAATACAGCTTTGTGTCACTCAGAGTATTTGTTGCTTTAAATGTCATTAAAACACACTTCCAAATTGGACTTTGCCTAGAGGATGAACCGTTTGCAATTTTTTCTGCATGACGACCCAGCTATGTCTGCTTACCTGCATTTGTAGAGTGAAGGACCAAGATTAGTTGTAGATTTGGAATAGGCAGAGGCGTACTTAAAAGGGGCAGTGTGGCCAAAATAGAAATTACAGGTTTTACTGGATGCTGCACATGTGCTGCTTGCACATTATGTCTCCCAGTACTTCAGGCTTGGAGGCCTATTTCACTCAGCATTGCCTTAAGCCATGCTTCTTTGTACTGGCTAGGAGTAAGAGGCACTAGCAGGTTGTGCTGGAGTGCCACCTGTTGCCCACTTAAATATCTACCAGGGAAAGAATAATGATAATCACTTCTTAAACATAAGGGAGAGCAAGAAGAAAAATTACAGCTGCTCCATCCTAGACTTCCTGAGTTTGCTCCTTCATCACAGCTGTGGACACACAAAACTGCTTGTGGAGCCCATGATATCATCAGGATGACAAGACCATGGTGCAAGGCCCAGTGTGCTTGCATTTGTTCCAGGGCTCCCTAACACTCCTCCAGGATATGCTGCCAGGTTCATAACATTGCCCACCAATTCCAAAAAAGACTTCTTTTTTTCCATAGCATATCTGAATATGCAACCCAACCTACAGACCAGTCATATCGACTTACAGCTCTGATGTTAAAACAGATAATACCTGCTCTTTTTGTGTTCCTGTGTCTTTTGAGAGACGCTCTGGTAGACCAGCAGTGGATGTTCCAGGAGTCTCAAGACAGGTTTACATCTCACGTTGCTCGTCTTTTTTGAGCAAAAAGTTAGAAGACCATAATCTTACAGAAGAACAGACTGTAAAACCATTCTTTTCTCTTGTATACAGGGGTCAGATAAAGAAGCAAGAAGTTAATGGAAGTTTGCCACAGAAGAGTCCTTCTGTCTTGGATCTTTCTGCCAATAATGGAAAGAATGAATAAGTGGGTTTCTCCCCACTTCCTTCATAGGCACTTAACTGTACTACCCTGACCTTTGCAATATAATTGTTTACTCGTTGAGCATTCAACCACTCCTTATGGGAACTGATAAAATCAATATGCATCTTACATTGTCACTGTAAAACTAATATTAAGAATAACCATTAAGCAGCAGAGCATTGTGATATTAAGTCTGTGAGCATAACGGAATGTTCCACAGAATTTTGTAAAGGGATGTAATAATAACTGCTACTGTCGAGTCAGTGACAATTAGTTGAAAGAAAGGGTAGGTAGGTATTTGACTTCCCATTTGTTACTGGAGTTCTGGGTGTACTATCTTTTGAAATTTGTACACAGCAGTTGATCATTTTGATACATAAGTGTCAAAGCTCAGAACACCAGAAATGTTTTTTGAATGTTAAAAAAAAATTTTTAAGCCTTAACAGCCTTTGTTAAAATAGTATGAGCACACCACGCCAATGCTTTATATTTATTATATGAGGAAAATTGGGTTTTATCATGTGTTAAGTAAGTCATGGTATCAGCTTTTATATAGCTTCAGATGTTGCATTATTCTGAAGGGATATTTTCCTTGTTCTCATTGCCTCATCACATCAATGGTATGCAGTTAGGTCTTGCATTTTGTCATATTTATTTAGGTATTTAAATTGCCTGTTTTGCTTTTCAGTTGTAACTTCTTGTATGTTATTTAAACTTTTTTCATTTTTGCAAATGCTATAATATTTTTAAGCATTAAGTATCTAACTATATTAGTTTAATAAAGTGCTGTTTGTTTAACCAGGTTGTCTTGTTATTCTGTTTATTCTACAGTAAAAACAACTTTTCCAGACCTACTTGTAGGAAGGGCTACATTTGGAGCTGCGTTTTTCTTCTCAGTTAACATTAAAGTACTTTGGCTGGCCAATATCACTGAGCCACAAACTGCAGATCACTCCCCTTTTCATGGAAATGCAGAATCCTAAGAACTAAATTAGTGTAATACTCGAGCTTTGCATGAGCCAACATGCTGTTTGACTCCAACGTGGAGTCAGTTTATCTATCATCTGAGCCATAATGTGTTCTACATAGTATTGGTGGTAACATTTTCAGCTGTAGTGATAAGCTGGCCCCACCCTTCAGCAGTAGAGTGAAGGCATCCTTAGCCTTACTCCCCGTTACTGTCTGCAGGAGACACACAGGACCTGATGCTAGTTCATAAAGTGCTCTAGTATTTACTAAATTCCAGTTAACTATGAAGGATTTACAGAATGGAGACCATAACAGGAGATTTCTTTCATAATTTACTAAGTAGATAAAAATGTTTGCTTTTTCAGGTGCTTCAAAGCTTTATTCCCAACCACATTTTTTTTTTTTTAACTTTTGATTGATAGTAGTATGCAAGTGGTAGGAAAGAAAAAAAAAAAGAAACAGGAGAAGTACTTTCTCTACTTTCCTTGTAAGAAAAGCTAGTGCTGTGATACTGTTTACATGACATACAGCCTGGAGAAATCCATCTGAAATGTGGAAAAAGATTTAACATGAATATATGTACATAGTTTTTTACATAGCTGGTATCATCACTTTAGGATCAAATCTGCAGCTGCTGTTAATTACAATAGAGCTCTGCCAGTTTGCAGCAGGTGAGGATCAGTGGGGGAAAAAAATAGAATGCTGTTCTTAAGAACTGTGTGGTGATGCATGTCACAGCTGTAGGTAACGCAACCTAAAAGCAAATTCCCCAGTGCATACACTGGACTGCAAAAAACTGAAATATACTGGTGTTTGCAAATGAAGAGACTCCAACTAGGTAGTGTGGTGGGTGCATTGAGGTGAAGGAGGCATTTTGCACTGGCTGGTAAGTGGAATACATTATCCCTTGTGCAAATGGACTGGCACCTGCTTTTAAGAGCTGTGAAATACTGAAATAACTATTTCTAAGTGCTAGAAGTTCTTACAACTAGCAAAAGGTGAGCTTTGAAATAGCATTCTAGTCATTACAGAATCCTGCCTTTCACCAGACTACTGGCCCCCATCATCAGTGTACAGTTTGAGTCTAATCTTACTTTCCAAATCTTACTTTTTCTAGGCAGTAATGCCTTCAATCTAGGAGTTTACTGGCTGCTAAGAGCAGACTAATGGTTGAGGGAAATAAGGCAATGATTAATGTGACTGATTATAACACAGTCACCACCTCATTTGTTTCCAGTGTTTTGCCTTTTTTACATGCTGAACTGCTGTAATTTCAAATACACCTAGAAAATAAATCCCTTGTTTATCTCCTATTCTATCAGTCCACCTAAAATGAAACATATTAACTGTTACTGTGCTCAAGAGCTCAAAACGAATTGAAATGGAGAAAGCACTTCACAGGAAGGAAATAATGATGCTGTTTATCATCTGTGCTGCAACTTACCAGGAACAGCCAGAAAACACTAGCTTTCTGTGTACTTACACAGCTTGTACCTTTTCACTTTTAGGATGATCTTGCTTCGGAATCTAAAGAGACTATCCCCAATCTATACTTGCAAATCTTGCTGCAAACTTGACTTTAGATTAACGTGGTTCTTTGCAGAATTATATGGAGATATTTATACTCAGTTAGACCCTAAAAGCACTGTCCTCTCAGTGCTGCCTGCCCATCATTTTATTTAGAGGATTTTATTTACTTCAGGCCCCATTTGCCTCTCCAGCGCTCAAGTTCATTACTTAGTCTATCAGTGGATCCCAATCACTGCCTTTAGCACTAAAATGAAATTCTGCTGTCCCTATAAGCATATTTCCAGCACTCTGCTGCCAGCTTGGTGACAGGAGCTGCCTCATTACGTCCTGGCATCACTTTTGCCTGGTGGTGGTGCAGGGAGCAGAGGAGCTGCTTTTTAATCTGCATTAACAGCCTCTGCTGATGCTTAGAGCAATGGCTTTCTGAGCAGCCCCACAGATCTCCAAGGAATGTGCAACCTTTATTCTTTCAACATGAAACACTAACATCTTCAAGCTGCTGATAGGGACCAATTTTTCCTGAAGGATAGATTTTAAAACAAATCACACTGAGAGCTTGAACAGCTGCATCCCCAACAGCTCCAAGGCTGTTCAAAACTTTTCTCTGTCTCATAAGTGCAATAAACAGCCAAGTGAAAATATACATTAGTGTGTATAAACTATAATAGGTGTAGGGGGGAAGAAAAAAATCACTTATGTGGAATGGTTTTGAAGAAAGCCTGTATATGGATATTATTATCCATACAGTTAAGCAATATGTGTCAGAAATATGAATATATGTATTGAAACATTTATTATATAGGTATGCATTTGAAAGGGTCTAAATGCACATACATGGAATGATATACACACTGTTGCTCTTCCATTCTATTGTTAATACATGCGTATGTACGAAGGGAAGAGTGGGTGTATGCACATTTGATTAGAGACACGTCTTAATGCATATATTTGTGAAAGCTACTGAAAAAGTGCCTGTGTGTTGTTAGACACAACCACACACACACAAAGCACTTCGTCATCTTACATGCGCCTAAGAAATCTGTTACTGTTTGCATTCAGAGCACTCACCGGCTGTTAGAAGCCAGAACATCCATAAGGCATGTTCTCACCAGCGGTCCTGGCACAGCTGACTTTTTCCTGCCTACACTTGTCTCTGCAGGTGACTCCCCGCAGGATGAGCTATGGCAGCTTCATCATGCCCACCCAGTTTGGCATTACCTGCCTGTTGGCCGTTATTGGTAACAGCTTGGTTATCTGTACAATCTTAAAGAAATCTGGCCCTAGCAGTAGCATCCCAGACATCATCAACAGCCTCTCCATGGTGGACCTGCTTTTCCTTCTGGGCATGCCCTTCCTCATCCACCAGCTGCTGGGGAACAGAGCCTGGCACTCTGGAGAGACAATGTGCACCATCATCACTGCCCTGGGTGCCAACAGCCAGTTCACTAGCATCTATGTCCTCACTGCTATGTCTATCGACTGCTACCTGGCCACCATCCACCCCTTCACCTCCCGTCCCTTCAGGAAGCCCCCGTGACAATCCTTGTCACCTGCATGCTCTGGGCCCTTCCCTTCCTCAGCATTATACCCATGTGGCTGTATGCTCAGCTCATCCCTTCACCTAGAGGTCTACTAGGCCGTGAGATTCATTTGCCAGACCCCCAGAGGGACATTTATTGGTACACTCTCTACCAATTCTTCCTATTTTTTGCCATCCCTTTTGCCCTCATCACAGTGGCTTACAGGAGGATCCTGCTCACGAGGGCCAGGTACTCAGAAGCACTGGTGAGCCAAAGATGCACCAGGGCTCAAACCAAGAGACTGACCCATGCAGCAATTGCTATTTGTGTGGCCTTCTCCATTTTCTGGGCACCTTTCCACAGCCTGCAACTTGCCCAGCTCACCATGACTTACCCCACCCTGCCTTTCTACTACACCTACAACATGACTATCAGCCTGGGTTATGCCAAGAGTTGTCTGAACCCCTTCATCTACATCTTGCTGGGCCAAAATTTCCAGAGGCAGCTTGGGGTCCCTGTAAGGCCAGCAGCTGCAGGGGAGGCTTCCCCAAATGGGAGCAAAAGCATTTGGGAGGATGCACTCATGTCAGGGCAGCCACTGCTACATTTGGGGTCCAGCTCTGGCAGGTAGCAAGACCCACAATAATTCAGGTATGCCCCCACAAGCCAGCCCCTCTTCTCTTCCAAAGAGACACAGGCAGGGGCAGGCAGGTGAGCACCATGCACCACATCCCCTAGGGGATGGATCATTACTTGCCCTGAAGATAGTCATGGCAGCATTTAGGCAGAAGTGCTATTTGGCATTGTATTCCTATTTACATCTTCCCCAACAGTTATGAATTATATTCTCCCCAGGCAATTAAAAGCTCTCAAGCCCTTTGTTAGATTACCCCACATACTAAAAATAATTTGGTGCAAAACCCCAGACAAGCAGTGACCCTCTGCCCAGGGCTGACACACTGCCACCATTTGAAACTTGGGAATTTTCAAGTTTATTTCTTGCTTTAAGCTCAGTAAGGAGAAAGAAAGGTGTTTACACTGTTCTGGATCATTTTTCTCCTGAAACATGGTTCAGGAGCATAAACACATTTCACAAAAATTTTAAATACAACGATCAAGTTCTCATCTCCTTTCTAATGTACAAGCTCCATGACATGTTTAACAGTAGATGAGACAATCATTTTTCTGTCATTTTAAAGCCAACAAAACCACCCATTTTCCAGAATCAGCAATTGTCAAGAAGTCCCGTGAATATTCCTAATTATTTTTAAATTAAAACTAACCATGTTGATTTATTCCCAATCACTCTGAGACACAGTTCTGTACCATCTTGTTAGGGGACAACACAAACCTGAGTTAAACAGTAGCTGTCATTAAGTTACCAAGTTGCTTTGCAGTAGAAAGTAATGATTAGATCCTATCTACATAAAAGAAGAAAAAAGAACAGTTTCTTGCCCTTGGCAGCATATCATGTGCACATGCATATTGTTGTGGTATTTCCTCAGCTAGCAGCAAGCCTTTAGTAAATACATATCTTGAAGCATATTGCTCAGGTTTTCAACCTGACTGTAGGTGGCTCAGTTTTCATGTGCCCATCTTGAGCAATTTGGAAAGGACTTGACAGTAGCAACCACTAAGCACCCATTCTCTGACAATCAAACATCTCTGCTGCACATGGCACCCAAAAATCACTGGGCTTTAGTTTTGAGACACTATTATTCTACTAATAGCAGGTCCCTACATCCAGAAAAACAGGCAAAAGCAGAGGTTGTACACACTTTTGTTTTAAAGGAACATTTGCCTCTTTATGGTAAATCAGATTAAAGCTGCTTAAAAAGTGCTTTTATGTTTCAAGAGATCATAAAGGCCAGACCAAATTCTTTATCAAGAATACTCAGTTGCTAGAACATATAACCTACTTTAATTTTAATTAAAAGTTACAAACTTCATAACTAGCTTGATTTATTCCCACTCCTATAAGGTAACTAAACATCAGCACTGCAAATGAAGAAACATGCCTATGATTATATGCCCTCCATAACATGGGAGATCTTTATCTCTACCTCTTTTGATTTCCAGGAGCCATTTATTTTAATAGCATGTTAATTCAGCAAACAACTATTACAAAAACCACATAGCCAGCAATCCCTGAGGCAAGGCTGCCTCCAATAGCTTTTCAGGAGGCACTTCCGTAGACAGAGCGATAGAACCATTACGCCTGTCTCAAGTGACAACACTCAAAAGCTTTAGACCCCAGCTCATATGTGGATACACAGCTGAAGGGATTTAATCCTTTCCCCTGAATTTCCATTATACTCTCATCTTTTGTTGAAGGGAACAGGCTTAATAAACTCAGACACTGAAGCAAGTGAATTTATTCCAGCTCAGAGTCTGGCTCCACATGAACCATTTCCTTCTGCATTTTAAATTGCTTTCTCATTATGTAATTCATTCTGTCATCAGCACTTATCTAGAGCTAAAGCTGTGAATACTCAGTTACCAGCAGGTTACCATGGAACAGTTTCACTCCTGCTGCCCTGACCTTTGTGTGTTTATCAGTCACCGTCACTTCAAAGCTTCTCACCATGTCCTTTTAACAAGATCTGCTTTCAGTGCTGTGCCATCACCACATTAGCATGGTTTTTGATAGGGATATGCTGAAGAAATAAAACTAGGTCAGCATAGACCAGGTGTTTTTACTGGAGACAGTAAGGCCATCCCTCAGATGAGGGTGTAGGTTGTTTGGTTTTGTTGGGGTTTTTTTTGTAATTATTAAACACTATGGTAGAGCTAAGAAGTCCTTAGCAAGGGAGGCTGGGGAGATGGTGCAGAGGCCCCATTTTCTCAGCTGCTCTCTTGTTTTCCTGCAGAACAGCACCAGCCTAGCAGGGAAACAGCAGGAGCCTTTCCCACCCCAGTGGCACCATTCCCAACTAGGTCCTCAGCCTACCCAGCCCCAAGGATCTAGTTCACCGGCCCTTACTTCACACACAGACATGCCTCAACGGGCAACCACTCCTGCAGCCCTACTCCCTACATCCTGGGGGACCCCAAACATCCTAAGTCTTTCTAAGGAGAGTTGGGGCAAAGGTATTTTAAACACCCTCACTAGTGCAGATCTCTAAATTCATATATGCAAGCTATAGGAGAAATATTTTGATTTATGGGGATGTTGACTAACATTTATCTTTCACAGCACATTCACATCAGCCAATATGTTATTTAGTAAATTCTAACCATCCAGGAGTGGAGGTTCAAACTGCATCCAGCAATGAGAGACAAGGAGACACTTCTCTGCCTGAACAGGCACCAGTCTTTTCCCACACTTCGGAAAAAGGAGAAAGATGGAGGGGGGGAAATATTAAGAATATCAGCCTTGTTTGGCTCACATGAGCGAAAAGCCCATACAGTTAAGTACAACATGCTGTCAAGTACACAAACCTTCTTTGTCAAGTACCACTTGTCGAGCTTTCACAGAAATACTTCATATTCCAAGTGCTAAGTCAATAGGACTTAAGTATAGTAGGTGGTTTGCTGGACAATAGCTTAAGTAATCATTTCAACCCTAACCCCTATCAGGTTGATAAATAGTAAAAGTGACTTGCAAATAAATGGCTCCAGTGTGAAATTCATAATTTCATGGCACTTCTGTTGACACTGTGACTAACAGCATAAGTCTTTCCTAATGATCATGTTATCAGTACTTCATGCTCTCCTTGCATGGAATTTACATTAATATTTAGAAAATGTACCCTGAAATCTTTTGTATTAAAAGTAGCTCATTAATAAGTCTTAAGTGAAGCGACAGATGAGTCCCCAGCCCTGTGCTATTTATGCACAGCATGCTTGACAATTAGCATTAGCAAAGTCTGTCCACTGACTTCATCTGAAGCCCTGCATGCCCAAAGAACGGAGCTGGACATGTGATGATCACTCTCCCTGTTTACACAAAGTTGCCAGACAATGTTTAACCTAAAGCTGTTACACTCATAGTGCGACAGAGCATTTTCATCCCTTTTCATTGTCACATGCAATTGTATTTTTATGCTTCATTTCCTTGACTGTGTAAGGCAATGTGTACAGGATACAAAATTAAAAGCATAATTGCATAACAAACTGCCTTGCTTGAAATGGACTTGTACATCTACAGATAGTGCTGTCTTTGTCTATACTGAGAGCTGCAATGAACAAGTACAGTGACATTTTTAAAACATAGACTGACCTTTTAACAAAACACTCTTACTATACTTCTTGCCCTACTGAAGTTCCCAGTGCAACCACCTTTCATGAAGAAAAGCCTTAGGCTTCATTTAGGGGACAGTAAAACTAAAGATCCAAGATCTTTGTGTGCCTCAAGTGTGCAGCAAATCTTTAGTGACTCAGTGCTTTTGCTCTGCTACCAGCTCTAGGGTTGAGGGTTTCCAATGCATTTGCTTTGGATGCAATTCCAAACATTGATGTTTTTAAGAGAAGTACAGCTGAACCTCACTAATCCTAGCACTTTAGAACTCTGTCACTATTTGGTTTAGTGCAGAAGAGTAACTGCCAATACAAATCACATTCTTCACATGGCTACAGAAGTAGAGTTTCCCCTGAAAATTAGTGGTTTGGTATAAAACAAAAGCAAAGGAAATTGTACAAGTGAAGGCACTAAGCACAGAAGCTCTGATACCAGTGATGACAGCAGGAGTAGGAAGTGGTATAACAAGTTAACATTCAGTTTAACAGAGCTGTCCCAGTTATCAAGTACTAGAGGAGTAGAGATCAGTTATTGTAACCTCACAGAACATAAGGAAACCACAGGTCAAATGGAATCCAATTAAGTTGGTGTTGCACAACCAGTCTTCAAATGAGATGGCATTAATGCAAAGGCAGCATTAGAACTCTCCATTCTCTCTGCCTGCAGGCTAAACATACTTGTTAAACCCTGTTTGGCTGCCTGCAACCTAACAGTATTTAGTTTACATGGTTACATGGTAATTCCCTTTGAATTTGGAAAACATTCCTTTGAGAGAAGAAGGGCAACATATCAAACCTAAAGTTTGACTTTTTGATAAGAAAGACTAATAGTGCAAATAACACCAGAAGGTGACATGGGAAATTTCTTATAGCATCTTCTGGCACACTAATTGGAAAAGTTTTCCAATTTTTGTACAGATTAGGAAGACTTGCCTGTAAAGAAAACCTATTAGAAAGCTAACTGAAACATATTGCTACACAGTTCCTTTGTCTTTATAATCTAAGTGCCTCTTAAGCAGGGGGACAGGGGAAATAACAGGTATAAGTAGCTTCTCTTCCAAGCATCAACACAACTATTTCGCTTTAGTAATTAAGTATTAGACAAAACAGCTTTATCTGTTACTCACAACCCTTTTCTCCTTTCAAAAACCACCTCTTTTTCCTCACTCCATTTTCAAAGACCCCAAAATTACATACTCCTAGTGCTCCTGTTAAGCAGTCATGGAACTTCTGGCCACCAGAACATCAGCTCTGGCAGCAGGAAGAGTCCATTCCACTTTGTGGTTTTCCTAATATCCTTCTAGCCTGCTGTGTTCAGAAAAGGCAGGCTCCAGCTTCACTGTAAATATTCCTCCAAAGGCCTCTTCTAATTATCTGAATCATATAGTAAAG